ACGATTTTGTGTACAATATCCAATCATTTTCTGATTGTAAAGACACTGTGCTCATTCAAGCAAGTATCTTTTCTATTAAGAATTAAGACCTATTCAGAAAAGTACAATCTCTATGAGTCAATCCGGCTCTGACTCAGCATAGCAGGTGCCATGACGTTTCCATGCCACATATGGATTCTCTGATGTCTTTATTTAACACTTGCAAATACTGAATGAACATCTTAGAAACAGTACATGGGAATTTAGTTTAAAGTCTGGGTTCTGTGTCTTTACATCAGAGTCATAACACTGCATTTCTCTCTGCTGTTCTAAGTTCTTCCTCTTTGATCAGAGGGGCCGTGCAGTCGCTCTGCTGGAGTCATTATGACTAATGAGATAGGGAGAAAGTCAGAGCACCTCATAATATGTATTAATAAAATCACTTTATGGTGGCTGCCCTTTGACGCAGACCATAAGTAACAAAAAAAATTATATAATACTAGAATGTGAGTCACGTATTAGTAACAAATATTAGAGCGATTTGCAAGTTTGAATCCGGTTTCTAACGGGCATCGGCGTAATTTATGATGCAGCTTGATCGTCCCATTGCCAAGCGCACAGAGGCAGAGACACGATTTCTAGTTATATTACATTAGTCTCTGGTGTGTTTCAATAAAGTCGCTTCCTGGGGCGTTCCTTGAGATCACCTTCTCAAGTTGAACTACACAGAATTGAATAATAGATCATACTCTGCTTTCCCCTCAAAGAAGTTAATTCCCCTTTATACCATTGTTTTTTCATCACTTTATCTGTCACAGACTGCGCTGCCTGTCCTCGAAGATACCAATTATTGTATATTTTTCCTCACTGTATCACACATTAGCGCTATTATTGTCCTCAAAAATCCTCTTGGCTCTGTGTGCAGTACAAGAAAAGCTGGCATGTTTATGCTACTGTATATATGCACGACACACACCTGTCATTGTTCCTGAATTATATAGACAAATGAGCTGTAAATATCACCAGCGAAACAAATTTCAATAATAAAGGATTTTTACCTCTGAGCTTAGAGTGTGTCATCTTCTATTTATTTGGCTGTCAACTGTCTTAAATGGAGGGTGTTAAGATGTGTTTAATGCTAACAGCTAACTTGTCACTGTTCCCTGAATAGGACACGTATTTTTGCACATCAATTGTCGCATTTACTTAAATTGCATTATGTATTTCTATTGTGCACTCTGCAGCAGAATGTATGACCAGTTCTGCTGTCTAAACCACAACACCAACCAACCCAGAGCATCCCACCTGCATGATAATAACCCCTCTGTCTTCCAGCGCTCAGTTTGTCTATGTGTGTGTGTTTGTGTGCTCTCCAGTGTGGGGTAGAGCGAGAGATCACTGGCCTTTTGTTGTGAACTGGTTAAAGCCGCTGTGTCTCTGGCCTCCCCTCCTCCATACGAGGAAGATTGCAACTAATTACACACACACACACACACACACACACACACACACAAATTTCTCTGATCACCGACAGGCCACTGAGAATTTCTAACTAAAAATATAGCTACAAGTCACATGGGAGCCATTCCTGTATAAATCTGTATGCAAAGGAGTACCTCTTCTCTTCTCTTCAGAGCCCAGTAGTCCCTTTTTAAGTGGTCTTAATGCATATGCTCTTTCATAAACTGTGCAATCTCCAAGATAGCTAAAACCCTCAGAAGCTTTGAGGAAATAAGAGGCACTGATTATTAAGGGCCAAGTTGGGAGCAGCTCTGCAAGCATGCCTCCATGAAAACATTTTAGTGCTTCTTAACTAATGCACTAACATTAGCACCTCCAAACACCCCTCCATATCAGTTCCCTCACTGAAATTCCTTTTCAGCCGTGCTTACGTCTACCACACTTCCATTTTCTCTAATCTAGCTAAAGCCTACATGTTGCAGTAGGCTACAGCTGCTGAAGAGGCGGCTGTAAAACTAAAGTATGCGTCTGATTTGGAGCTTAAAATTTGCTGATGCTAATGGGGCTTGAAGGCCATTTCTCACCAATGCAGTGTGTAAATGCAGTGGGGAATGCAGAAAATCTGATGTGGATATTCTGTATTCCGCACTGCATTTATGCATCACAGCTATGCATGACAACTATGCACATTGGTTTCAGTTTGAATTTTCTGTATTGCCATTTTCCATTTTCATCATAAAAAATAATAATGCTCATGCCCATCGGATGGAGAAGGGGGCTAACGTTAACTCCACAATACATGAACTAATTTGACCCCACATTTGATGCTAAAGCTAGCTGTTGTGGCTACCCTCTTTCCATGACTGACATATAACATTAGCAGGTGCTTATCAACAATTTGTCATCATCATGTGTATCCCAGCTGCTGGGTAATCTCAAGCCATATATCGTCCTTTATTTGATTTTTTTAAGGAAGTTGTCCTTGTGTTTGTCGAACAGTATCGGGTATTGAGAAGCCAATTTGATAAGACATTCCGCCATTTTGGCAGCAAGCTAGCTATCACCTGGAGGTAATAACATCAGTTGAAGCATAGGATTTTATTGGGCAAACTTTTTTTTTTTTTTTGGCCTTCAACAACAAACACGTGTGGTTGGGTTTAGGCAACGAAATCACGTGGCTAGGTTTAGGAAAAAAGAACAGGGTTTGACTTTATAATCTTAAGGGGCCCGAACACTTAACACACTCTAACACTCTCCCAAGTGAAGGTCGGCGTTTGCTGGACCTATCCACCATCCCTCCTGCTGCTGCCGAGTGCCATTAAACTATAATGGTGACAGGCTGCGCATCGTGCCGAAGTTAAAGGAGGGCTTTTTCATCAGTGTCTGATGCTGCAAGTCCTTGCTGAAGCACCACTTTTCAACAACTTCAGAGTGAGACCGGGATGTTTAAACATATATTGGTGCAGGTGAAAATCTGCTTAAATCAGGGTCCGTCCAAATATTTTTATCCCACTGGAATGTACCTTAGGGGTGCACAAGCCCTTATAAGATCCCACCAGATCAGTTTTGATAAATTAACAAACAAATTTTTCAGAGGAAAATACATTCTTGGTGTGAAACCGCTTTAACTACGGGAGAGGAATGAGGCCAAATGTGAAAAAACTTACTCGAGTTCTGAGTTTAAAGATTGATTTTTTGAAAATAACATCAAAATCCTGAGTTTAAACCCAAAATCCTGACTCAGTCTTTGAATTCTCACTTTATTCTCAGAGTTCTGACTTTAAACTCAAAACTCAAATAATTTTCTCACGTGGCCCTAATCCTCTTCCATACTTAACCACACCACCTCGTTCTGGTTCAATCAGGCTGCTGGTGCTCACAACAGGATTACTCCTTCCAGTGTGTACACAGAAAAATTGCATTATGTTCAGAGATAAGGCCAGAAACACGCAACCTGGTGCAATGTTATCATCATTTGTAATTGTTCTACATTCAGTTCATATAATGGGGTCCTCACTGTGTCCTGTACTTGTATCTATGTGCAAAGTAGAATTAAAACTTGTAATGTGTCAGGATCAAATTTATTTACCAAACACCTCCAGAGAGAAAACAACAAAAAAAAAAAACACTGTGCAATGAATGACAACGATTCACATTAGTATTAATGTATTTCCAGAATCAAATAAAATGCTTAGTGCACTGCCTTGATTGTTACTCTGCAGTTCATTAAGCACATCGTCGAATGAGCTTTAGATCATGGCCTATTAAGCCGCTGCTTGATTGGCAAGTGGCAAAATGAGCAGCTCAGTCTGCATTAACATTTTCTGTCGAATTGGGAAGGCGCACACCTTCAAAACTTGTGTCCTTGCTAAGGTTGAAAGTGGATGTAATTGCCTACCAAGCTACAGCCTTATGGCAGTTGTGGCGGTCTAGACAAGAGGTGATTATGTCTGGTTAAGCTATCTGCGGCTGAGCCTCGCCCCGTTCATGGTCAACAGAGTGTTAGCGCTCCTCAATCTGTTTTTCATCTCTCCTTTTCCACTAATTCATTTTAGCTGTAAAGGGGAAGAATATAACATGGTGAGAATAAGCAGAGAATACAATATTTTATGCAGTAATGTTCCCAAAAAATGTGTTTCAGAGTCCTTGACAGTGGTTACAATGTGAAAATCATTGAATTCAAACAGGAGAATCAAGAACTATAACTGCTTTTTCCCCCTAAATAATAGGTTTCACTGCACCAAACCTTAACTTATGTAATTTACCACACTAAATCATAATTAATTACAGGAAGTCTTATCCATTGGAGGGTTCATGGTCCAATGCAAATCTGCTTGGTGTGAAAATGCTCAGAGCCGCTGCTCTAGATAACTGGATACCTGTGAGCATTTAGTTTGTTTGAAGACTGATGATAAAGTGATGCTGTAGTGATCTGCACTGGGAAAGTATCTCTCTGGTGGGCTTCACCTCCAGCCCACCTTCACTTAGTTGTGTATATACTCTCCCCTGTGAAGCTGGGATCTCATTTATAAAACAATACATAGGATCCAAATAAAAAATGCACGTGTGCCAAGAAATATTAGACAATTTCTACAATCAGGCTTCCACCTCACCATCTGCGTCGCCAATTTTCTGTCTCCAAAATGTCAGTAAGCATGGGTCAAAGTTTCTCTCATCAAGTCTGTTTTTATAGATCACAACTTTTGCGTGGGAAGTGGCATATATCCTCTTTCAGGCCTTTACATATGAGACTCCTGGTCAGGATTGTTGGCTTTGAGCACATTCGCTGGACCAGTGTGTTCTTTCCTTCTGGGACATGTGTCCAAAAATTCCAGAGACATCTATACTGCTATGTATCTCTGTGTAACACCTGTTTACTTATCCTTAAAAAAATCTCAACATCCTTTTTCCCCCCTTACCTCCTTTTGCCAGTATTCCTCAGTCACTCAGTTGTGTCTCACTGAAAGGGACCTCAGGTGGTGCTGTTGTCCTGACAACCAATAAGGGGAGCATCACAGCCAGACGGCTGGATAATCTGAGAGAGAGAGAGGAGAGAGATGGTGATGGTGGTGGTGGAGGGGGGAGGGAGATTTTCTCAGACTCTGAACAGAAGCCTGCCTCACTCCATCGCAGTTACTGCCTGTGCCGTCCCTTTACGCAGAGAGCATTACGCATCAGTGGACTATAGAGCGAGGACCCCGCGCACCACCGCACGTTTTCGTCCCGAAAGTCCTTTAGGAAACCCGCATCACTCATCCCTCCCGGACTGTTTTTGGACTTAAAGGCATCCCGCGTTTTCCGACAAGTCTGGACAACTACTCTTCTTCCTCCCTCCCCCCTTTTTTTCTACCCTTGGATCTATAGCTCCCCGAACAGCGCGCTCCTGTGCTTTAAAATGCAAGTCGGACGCAAATCGTGTTGGAGGCAATTGCAGGCTTCTTTTTTCAGACTGCTGTGTCTTATCCCCACAGGATTCCCCGTCCGGAGTGTGGATATGCAGCGGGCCACCGACAACATCACCATCCGCCAGGGCGACACAGCGATCATAAGGTAAGAGTCGTCTTCCAACTTTCCTTCTCCTCCTCCTCCTCCTCCTCCTCCTCCTGTCTCCATCCGGATGCACAGCAGCAGCATCCTCCCCCGCGGGCTGCTCGGCTGCATGGTGCAGATCGTAGCAGCAAAGGGGATCATTTTAAGGACTGTTCATTTATGAAGGGAAATATGTTTACTTGTTTTTGTCTCCGCATTTGATGCAGTTAACTTAAATTTTCCGCACGACTACGGAGAAGTAAACGGAGGTGGGACGTGTGTGGAGAGTTGATGTGCTTCGGTCCTCAACTTTTATTTTACCATCCAGTCCTGACAAAAAACGCTGTAGTGCTTCTATAACATGCACAACATCTAAATGACTTCATAGTGCTCGACCATTATTCCTATAGAATTACATATAGATTTGCAGAGACAAATATGCAACATCCTTCCTCAGGGAGCATTTACATGACTGGAGCAAAAATGTCAAACGCCTTCCCTGACATGACGCACGAAGCACCAAAGCTGTGGTCACCGACTCCTTTTTCATTATTCTGCTTAATTCAGGAGCTTGGGTACATCGAAGTGCGTCACGCTGTCCGGAGATGCTGTTTGTGAGTGGATTAACGGCAAAGACAGGGACTCTAGACTCAGATAAGAGGATGATGCGAGGAGACAGAGAACTGTGCAGTCCTGTTTGGATTTTGCGAATTACCGCGGGATGTTTAGAAAAGATTAATTGCAGCCTGTGGGGGGACAAGTAGGTGAAGTAGCATCAGTGCCAGAGAGACGTTCATTTAACTCCCATCGCTGTTCATCCCTGTCTGCAGCCCCCGTCAACATAAAGCAGCTCCAGTCTAGCAAATCCAGTTGTGTGTGTTGCGTGGAGTCCGGTTTTTGTGTCCATAATAGCCCCACATCCCACTTAATCACTTCCTAGACAATGCAAGCTGTCAACTCTGTGGTATTGTGATACTGCTGGGCAGATGTCAGTGGGACCACGTGATCCGAGCCATGTGTTTGTGGCAGGCTATAAATGTAAGGAGATTTAGATTTGGTTGTTTTTTTGTAAACAAGGGGCTTTGCACATGCACACCCCCGGCCTCAGTGCACCCCATCCACACACACACACACACACACACACACAAAATGGGATGCACTGTTGTGATGTCCAGTGGTATAATAGGCTGCATACAGAACACTCAATCACATTGACTTTTCCCTCTCTCTCTCACACTCCCTCTGTCCTCTCCTCACTGCCATGCTTTATTTACAGTACCAGCACCCAGTCTAATGACTGTGAGAATATAGAATGCAATTATGGGATGCACCTTTAACACAGTCCTGTCAGAGAGCCTGCAGATTCACAAACAGACACACACAAGCACGTTGCCTCACATGTGCTTTGAGCCTGCTTATAGGTGCACGCGCACAAACACACAGACACACACACACACACACACACACACACACACACACACACACACACAAAGGATAAATCTCTTTAATGGATTCCTTCTCGCAACCAGGTGCCATCCATTCAGGCACCTGCTGATCAAATTAGTCAATTGACTCAGTTACTGTTGAACTCACCGGGGGTCACAGCTATTTGTTTCACTTTTCCAAATCCAATTGAGTGCGTCTTTGCTATATTCAGCCGTTTAGTCACCCAGTCGGTCTGTCTCCTTCAGAGGTGGTGGCGGGCTTTTTTGCACCGAGCCGGAGCCAAATGAGATTCTCCCCTTCCAAGAAAACACTCGCACCTTAAGTCCGCTATTTTAACCATTATCTCTGATAAACGATCCTTGAATAATTATCCGTGGTAAGCACTCAGGGAGCGTCATAATTAATTTGTTGTTTATAATTTACGTATCTTGTTGGCATTAGTGATCAGTCTTATTTATTGTCAGTCAGGCTACGATAAACTGCAACTCAGACCCCCATGGCTCCATTGGAAAACACAACCATTTTTCACACCCTGTTTCCACCTGACAAATTGGATACGGGGGTGGGGAGGGAATAAAGAAAAAAGAAAAAAACACGAGGGCTAAAATGCGAGAACTTTGAGCAGGGGTGGGAGGCCGTCGGCTAGTAATTTGTCGAGCTACACAGTGTATCTGATTCCATAAGCTGGGTTTTGTGAAAGCTGAGGGGATATTGGTGACCTGGGGGCGTAATAAGGCCTGTGCTCCTTTAGTGGAGCCTGTGGCTGCAGTCGTGACATTCATGGCACAAGAGGAGAGATGCTGGAATAGAGAAACAATGTGTGGCCAAACAACTGCTGTGACAGAACACACAGCGGCAGGCCTCGCTACTAAAATGAGAAAGGAAATATATTTTTACCAGGAGCTGTGCCATGCTGAATAAATAGGAAAACTAAGGCTTTTCTCTTTATGCTTAAGACTTTCAGATTGGCGGCACTACAGTGACTCACCGTGAAAGCCTGTGTCGAATGTATATATTTAAGCTTAATGGATTTATTTGTGTCATGAGTACATGAATATTTAATGCATAACTTCAGCTTGCAAGGTAAACTTTAAACACCACATTTAAGGGAGCGCAATGCATTACAGGCCAAGGTGTAGATACTCTAGATTTAGAGATCAGACTAAATTAATAATGGAACGTTCCATTCAAATATCTGCCAATACTTTGTTGTGACAGGCTCGCTTACGGTAGCCGACTTCTTTTCAGCGTGCTGCGACACATTGCTTTGTTCACAGAATCTCATTTCCCCCTCAGACGCCATCAAAAGTGAACATAAACTAAATATTGACAGATATCTCCAGCAACTGTCTGTGGTGCCTATAGGGAACAGTATTGAGTCTAAATTGATTTCTCTTATGTCTTACAAGAGTGGAATTCAGTGGTAGCATGCCTTTCTTTTAGTCAGCATGTGATGTAAAGATTGAGCTCTAACCTTTCAACTCCTTTGCCTAAAGGGGTCATGTAGGGGTTAATCTGACAGAGATTATTCCTCTGAAGACAGTAACTATGTTGGACTGTCTTAGATAAACAATTTCAAGCCAGTGTGTGTCATGTGGAGTGATTTAGAGCTCATGTGACGTACAGTAGGCTGCGGGATTAAAAGCGCCACAATATCAGTGTTCAGGTTTTGTAATATAGTGTCTCTGGATCTTTAGTCTGTCTTGTGTAACACGCTTTACTAGGAAGTAACCACATCAGCATGCAGCATCCTAACTTCTCTACAGTTTTAATGATCTGGTGACTCTGTGTTGAGTTCAAAGATTGCCGACTATCTGGGTCTTACATTTGTCCCCGAGCTGCCTTTTGCTCTCTAAAGGGGGAGTTTTATTTGAAAATTTGTATCTTCTTGAAGTGAAATTTGCCCCTGGAAACCGTGAACATAAGTCCAAGCATATAAAATCTAGGCCTGTATCCCAGCTGTCATGTTTCAGACCTATAAGATTTAGGTCAACTGAAAAACATCCCATATATTAGAGCGCCCTTCCATGGTGACTTAGCCTTTTTTTTGGCTTTTTTTTACAAGGATGATGCCAACAAGTGAAATCAGACCATTCTCTCCCTCAGCGAGTCAGAATATGAATCTGAGGAGAAGAATAAGAAAAGTTTCCCCCCACGTTTCTTCGAGCCATTTCTGAGCCACAATAGTTTACTTTTTAATTGCTTTTTTTTCGAGTCCCTCCCTATGTAGTTGCCTGGGGAAGGTTGCAATGTCAGGCGAAAGCCCTGATAATTGACAATTGCTTATTAAAGCATTAATGACACAGTCTCTGTGATTGCTCTCCTCTGGGTCAATTATCTGCGCTTTGACAATACACTCTGCCTGGCTTGTTACTTTCCGGGAAGATGATTCTGCACTTGTGCTTTGCCCCAGAGGATCTTTGTCAAAACTTACCCCAGAACTCTGCCTTTAATTTGAGTCAGAGTCAGCCAGATTATTATGTATGTGAAATCTGCTAGGGGCTCAGACACTACATAAGACACGATGTTAGTCTAATTCGAGTTCCGATATGATTCACAGTGCCTGAGAATACAGCCAGTTTCATTTGCATTATTAAAATCTCAACTATTGAACTCTAAAGGCTGATGGATCTTTGAGTGCTGCGGTGTGCATCAGCCGCCCCACACGGAACCGTGCTCTCCAACATGGAAACAAAGATGTTAAGGTTTTTGGAAATTAGCTTTGAGTCCCAGCATGCCCTACTGTGAGGAAAGATGATTGCTCATTTTCACAGTACACCTGGTACCAATCCTACAACACATGTGCTGAAAGCAAACAGTAACTCTATCTGGAGGCTGTTATAAAAATAATTTCGTTCATATAATACAGAATCTCTAAACTATTAAAAAAAGACTAACCTAAAGTCATGCTCTGTTTTTTTATATAAAAATATACTCTGTGATGACAGAATAAATCAAAACAAATGGCTTATTTGTTAATTTGTTTTATTCCAAATCTATGAAAGCACATCTCTTGATAAATGCAATGGTATTTTTACAGTCAGACAAACAGAACCTGCCTGGTACTGCTGAATCTGATACCTGCCTTTGCTAACAGAGGAACTTCGGTCCAAATTGGTTCCTGCTGTCAGGGTTGTAATTTTGACGGTCTATTATCTGTAACATCTGAGTTTACAGTGCAGAACAATGCTCTACAACCTCTCCAAAGTCGTCGAAATCTGGCGCTTGGGCAATGACTTGTGGCGTCAGACACTGATGAAAAAATGACGACTTTTAACGTCAGCATGATATGCGGCCATTCGCCCTCATAGTTTAATGTTACTCTGTGGTGTCAGGGGGAAACCCGGTGGGACAAGAACAAAAGTTAAGGCAGTGAGAGTCCGAGTAGGGCAGATGGGAAAGGTGGTGGATGGGTCCAACAGACTCCAACTTTCCCCCGGGAGAGCGGTGTTCGTGTCCCGTAAGATGATACAGCCAAACCCTGTTCTTTTTTCCTAAACCCAACCATGTGCGTTAGTTGTTTGAGGAAAAGTTATGTCAATTGGCGTTGTTGTACTGACGTAGTGCGTTTATTT